TTGGTTCATTTTTTAATGTTGCTCTTATTGGGTCATTTATTGAAAAATATAACTCAGCGTAAAAATGTAACAATCATTTATTTGAGCACTTTGGATTTATGCTCAGAAATTGAAAAGTGGGGTACTTAGTGTTATAGGATTTCTTAATTTGGACACTTTCTTAATCAGTTAAAAGTCAAGATTTAAATTTACAACTAAAATAAATTGAAGACAAAGCCCAGTCGAATGATATAACAAGAGAAGGTTAATTTTCTCGTCATTATTGCTCCAATTTAGGTTAGACTGTTTATTGTAAAATAGGGAAAAAAATTTATTCATTTTTCTTCTGTGAATACATTTTGCTCCAACAACTTGTCTGAAATCAAATCTCCTTCATTGACACTTATCAAATTCGAAATAAGGCAAATTATTAACTATTTTTAAGGCAGAATCTTACTTGTCCCTTCATTGAGATTTTCTATGCTTAATTAAAGTAGACTTCAATGACTGAATTTTTAATTAACTAATGGCTTTTAGGTCTTTCTGCAAACTTTGTAGTCCAAGGAATTTTTTTTCAATTTAAAAAAACTAAACTGAAAAAGATTAATGCAATTTTATGTAGCAAAAGTAGTACATAAATGAATATTTTTATTAATAAAACTCCCATTTTTAACAGAAATAGTATTAAAATGACTGAAATGTGTTGAATATTCAAATGAAAACTTTTCTATTATGATTCAAGTTTAAAGTGAGTACACATTTTAACAAATCGAAAATATCTGCTATTCTTTAACCTCGAAGCGTAGGGGTGCTTAATCTCAATCTCCAGGAAACAAATTGAGCACTTGACATCGTAGAAAACACAATTTTTGTGACACCCACCTTTCATTAGACTTACTGTAATTCCATAATTGCTTTGCGCGAATTTATAAATAATTTGTGTTCTTAAAATTCATTGAGTTACAAACCGATCTGTTATAGCTTTTTTTCTGTAAATTAAATAGACACGAATTTATCGACAATAATAGACCCTGTTACTCAACTTTTTTTCCAAATGTTTCGAATTCCCCCTAAATTTAGATTGCGAAACCACTAATTAATGTGAGAACTAATCATAACAACTGCTAATGTTTTGTGAGTCTCATAAATAGTGGTGTTAAATTGAAACTGCTCAGAAAATATATCCCTCGATAGTCACAAATGCTGTCAGAAAGCAGCTCTTCTTTGTTTGAACTGCGCGAGTATTTCCGATCAGTGAATATCAGAAGCATGAGTGTTATGTGAGCAAATTGAAAAATATTCCAGATGTATTCAAGTTTTAGGTGAATAAATCTAAGTACTATTCATCTCAATGATACATTTCTGAAAGAGACTTGAAATGTCCACGAAAACTTTGATGGGATTAAACGAAAATACAATTCAAATCCGATTTAACAAAATCAGATACATCCTGAAACTGCAAAGGAGCAAAGCGTTGATTAGAGGAGCTTTAGTTTGAAACCTAAAAATGAGTGATCGGCAGGCAAAATGGCAAAAGTTTAACCAGGATTCCTAAAATAGATTCACTTCATCCCATTATTTGACACCAATCTCAACTGAATGGAGTCTGTAAAAGGGAAGTGATGTGTGGGTGTGTATGTGTGAATTATCACTGTTGTCTAGTCTTTGTAAGTGAAATTGGGACTTTAAGGCATTGGCAGACTGACCCTATGAAATTAAAGTAGATCATCCAACTGATAAACCCTGTTTACGGTGGATTTATGCCGATATGGTAAAGAGCGGCACTATGACGCTTGCCAAATCAGATGAAATCAGTCCATCCAAATGTCCGTGCCAATGGAAAGATGACAAAATGGAAGGATAGTGAACATTAAATTAAAATAATTCTTAAGCAGCTAAATTGTGGTTATTCCGATCCGCTATCTCAAACTTTTACCCTATGTTTTGAGATGTTTGCTGTCGATTATAAGCAGTGAGATTTTGGCCCTAAGATGGGAATTAAACTAAATTCCGATCAATGAATATCAATCGATAAGTATTGTTCATTGATTGCACATATACAAAGCACCAATGCGATTCGTGCAACAATGCGATGTTTAAGGGAAGGCGAGGGGGCTGGGGGTGGGCTCAAATTCCTGCCATGTTCCACCAAAACACGAGAAATGAAACTCGCGTTTGACCGCTAAATGAAGGCACGATTGAGTTAGCAGAAGGGAATTCCCTTTATTGAGCATGGACGAGCCTTTCCTCGTGGAAGAGCTGCATGAAAAATGGCCCTCCACAGTTGGGCGGTACTTCATTTTTTTCCTTCTTCTTCTCCTCCACGAAAATGCACGATTAAATGAGTTCGCCTGTGCGCTTTGACGCACTGTTAAAGCAGACAAAACTCCAATCCACCGTTTAAGTACAGGAAGGAAAGAATTTGCTTATAATTGCTTTTTTGAACAAAAAAGAAAAATTACGCGCGTTTTCCCAAATCATTATAAAACTAACCTAGCTTTAAGCTAATTGCGCCTGGAAAGATTGCAAATCTAATCGGCTATTAACTTCCTTGTAAATGAAGATTATCGACACGCATTTTCAATCGGTGCTTTTCATTGATTTTACTGTCCAACCTAACAAAAAGAACAATGTTCTTATTTTTTTAATAACCCCTTTTAGGATTCAAAAACTTTTCAATAAAGCTCCAATGATGAGACAAGCATCAAATATACATACACTTTAAAATAACTTATTTGGTCAAACTGACTGGAGTATTACCTCTAAGACCAGCCCACCTAAGCGTTCATGGTTTAGATTCCAAAGTTTTGAACACCTTAGGTTAAAGTTCACCCAGCAATTCAGAAGACAACTAGTGAGATTCGATTTTTGGGTGATGGGGATCAAGTGAATTGGCAAAACAAAATAAAATGAAAATGTTTTGTCATCTTGTCATTCTTCACAACGTCATCTCTCCACCTTCCCACCCCACCCCACCCCCAATACCCCCCACCCCCTATTCCCCTACCGATCTTTACCACAACTAGATTTCAGCTGATTTCCTAAGATTAAAAAGCAATAATGGGATTACTATGCTGAGGGATTAATTTTAAATAAAATAAATTAAAGGATAATTTAAGTATTACAACAATCTCTAGGTTCCTTATCGCACTTAATTAAGGACTAATATAATACCTAGAAAAAAATTCGGGCGAATGACCATTTGCAACTAATCCGCCTAGCCATATGGCAATATATAAAAAAATATAAATATATAGATGCATATTTGTCCTTTCTTAAGTCAAGTGAAATTTAAAATTATCCAATGATAGTTATCGAAGCCGGTGCCATGGGGTCATCAGCAATCAAGTATGGACAATTTTAACCTCTGTCCGGTTAAAAGAAAACTATAAAACATGTACATGTATATATATATATATATATATATATATATATTGTGAATTGATCAATCTTCGAATTTTTTAGGTAAAAATTCAAAATAAGAATTTAACCAATCCCGGATATCCTCTGCCTAAAGGCTTTCATTGGGTGAGCCAAATTTAAACCTAAGAGCCAAATGAGAAATGAGACACACAATTTGCCAACGAAACAACCTAAATTTGTCAGATAGAAATCAAACGGCCGAGTGAAAGGAGATCCCACCTGTATCACATCTATTTTTGTGAATTTTCCCTCATTCCTCATTACCCACATGCAATTTCTACTGAAGCTGTACTTCTACTTCGCGCTCTTAGCGTATCACTTCATGGATGCGTCTAACTCTTCATATTCAACCACCCTTGTCCAATTTCCCAAGGATTTGTCTTCTGATTCCGGAATGAATTCAAGCTGGTGGTTTTGCAGAGCTTACTAACTCGTTCAATGGTAGGTGTGACCTTTCAAGCCCATTGGCCATGTTTTGACCTTCTAATAGGCCGAGAATTGGCAAAGACCGCAAGATGCAACTCCTAGAGATCGATCAAATAGACCAAGACTCGACTGGACTACTCGGAATCAAAGCCTCCAATTCTGTAATCTTTGCCTGCAAACACTAACCACACTAAACAGGAAATTGAGTTGACTAATTTATGCAGGCTTCACATGAACTAAGAAAAATTGCTTGTTGTTGACTGGATTTTCATCGGATGCCATAGTGGAATCCTCACTGATTTTACCCACTCATTTCCCACCGTTTCAGAAAGCTTCTCTTCTCTAATTGGTTAAACTGGATGCTGATTTTAAATAACAATAATGACAATATATATATATATAATTAATATTTCAATAATTTTATTTCATTGTTCTATTTACTTCCTCTCAATCGTAATGATGGGAAGGGAAAGAAAACACGATGCTCATTAAAATTTGTAATTAAATATCTCATAAATTTTTAATAACTTAGTGATGGGGGCTTGGAATTGACTCATATTCAGACATTCATGATAGAATAATTTAGATGTAACAACTCGAGCAAGTTCACAAAGAGATTAGCGCACAGGATTAAAATTTCCCAAGACACAAAGCAAAAAAAGAAACAAAATTATCTTCTTATCACTTCAGGATTAGTTAATTTGTTATTTATTCATTTTATAAAACCGCATTATTAATTTCAAAACTATTAACGAAAAGTTTGTAAAGGTTATATTGTAGTAAAGTCTAATTATCTAGTTAAAAAAAGACAAAGAAAATAATGATATTATTCATATTTCCTGAGAATGAGTTCCTTAAGTCCAAAACGACTGATGCAGAGGTCATTTAAATTATTTTCTATTATATAAGATAATACTGCTCTCCAATAATTTTCAAAGATAAAATCGATTGAATTATTGTGAACGAGGGACCACAGCAGGTGAAGTAATAATCAATAAGCACGGTTCCAAGGAAGTTTACTTCTGAAACATGAACGGCTCGATTAGTAAGTTCCATTCAATCTGAACACAAATCAGGTGAAGTAGAACCCAATACCACTTTGAATCTACACTCTTAATCATTTGAATATATATCATCCATTAAAATTTGCAAGACCTACAGCTGGCCGATTTCTAGCAGTCTTTCAAAATGCAAAAGCCTATTTTGTTGACAAGTAGAGAGATGGAAGTTGAGTAGACGACTGATGTAGGCAAGTACTCACCCTTAAACTTCGTGGAAATAATAGTCCGGTAGAATTCGTCGCCAGGAAAGGAGAGTAATTTCCGAATGCACTCGTTTTTATCCCATTTAGCCGGATCGGGATCGAATGGACAAAGTTTTTGCTGAAGCTTGTGCAATCCATGCGCCAGGGCATATACGGCATCATACACGAACTGAATCTTTGCTTCCTGCTTAAAAGGTTCTGGAAGTTTATCACCCAGACGCCTCTTCTTGGTTGTCTCGCAGTGGGGAGTGTCTGTTTGAGTGGAATTATCGTACGTGCAACCAAATAAAGAGGACCAATATTTTTTGAACCATGGGTTTCTTATATTATCCCAGCGTAGATTTTTGTAATATTTGTTGAAATTCTCAATCTCCGTTGCTAAAATCTCGATTGTCAGAGCGCCGTTAGCCACTCGAGAATTATTCATGACGGGTATATTTTCGCGTCCCCAGCCATCACTGCCAATAAATACAAAGTGGTCCGTATAGTTTGCTCTTCGAACAGCGTCCAAAAGGAGCTTTGTATGGTCCATCCTGGTGAAAAGAACCACTACTCGTGCTTTCGAAAAACCATGTCGTAGTACCTTCACCACCTCATTCAAATCTTTTGATGTCGAACTGCCACGAATAACTTCTCTAGCCGCAATGCAAACATCCCTTTTATCAGCTTCCTTCCAGAAGGCGTCCATTCCAGAATCACCATAATCTCCGGCGCTTCGAACTGTGGAAACATACGTCCAATTGTGTGCTGCCACAAGAGCAGCCATCACGCGAGCTTGTTCAACATCTGATGGCACTGTTCTGGCAAACAAGGGGTACGTTCTCTTGTCACTTAAAACGGCGCTAGTAGACGCATAGGAAATCTGAGGTAGTTTAAACAATCTGAAGAGATTGGCAACTAAGATAGAAACGGTAGTGTAAGATCCTCCCACCACGCCACGCACTATATCTTGACTCCATGATGTGGGGGGAGAAGAGGCAGCTGAAGACATTTTCTGTTGAGAGGGGCTATAGTAACCAGTGACACATCCTCCCGAAGCACACGGGCAGGCACATTGGCATATACCCTTCTCCTGCTCCTTCGAGCTTTCACTCAAAACATCATCTGCAGTATGTCTTACAAAATCCAGAGACTGTTCCAGAGCATGGTTGCCGAGTGAACAAGTATCCCGTAGATTAGCTCCAAGTCGCAGACCAGGCAAGAGAGCCGAATTATTGTTAATTTCATCTAGAGTGAAAAGCATTGCCTCCAATCGCTGAATTCCACGCTCTGGATTAACGGACATGCATTTCTCGGAGCCGGAACTGTGTACAGGAAAGAGTCCTCCTAAAATAATATCTCCAGGAACTGTGGCCACCAACCGCTTCATTGATTTCTTCTTCTCTTTCTCCTTTTCTGCAGCAGACCTACCGGTAGTTCCATTGGCTCCTGCGATGAGGTTAATCAGGAAAAGGCTGCTAACAAGAAGAATGGTAAGGAAGAGGGAACCCGGATGGCCAAGAAGACGCATAGTCCTGTCAGAAAAAGAGTCGATAACGATCCATTTCAAAAGTAGTGAATGCGTACGTATGTACGTATGGATGTGTATGTATCTGCTGTTGGCTAGTGCGTCGAGGTTAGGTACAACCCCTCTCAGGCCAAGGAGGGGTGTTTGTGTGTGCATGCAGGTGTGCGCTGTGTCCACGTACGCAGCCATCTCATTGGTTGATAGGAGTAGTCTCACCTGCAGTAGCATTAGGAATAATGAAAACCGCTGCTAACGACGCTTCGAGAGAGCTTAGTGCGTCACTACCGCAAGTCAACTCGCCTTCTCACGTGTGTGTACGTTCTACTTGGATACGTTTGAGTAGATGAGACCGAGGTAGGAGAGTTTGGAGAGAGGGAAGGAGGGAGGGAGAAAACGGGAGAGAGAGAGAAGTAGGGAAGGGGACGAAGTGGGAATTCAATTAGACATGAGCAAACATTTACGATAAACACAATTATTGAACGATATAAGAGGTAATTTTGGCTGCCCACTCGTACGCTCTTCAAAAATTAAGTAAACCGAGTTTTGGCTATAACTTTTTGTAAAATCAAACAAATTTAACTCTAAAAATGACGATTTCAGCATTCGCTTACTTTAAATGACCTACTACAAGGGCTCTGTGTTATGCGTGATGCATTAATACTATCGAATACAGTGTAAATTGAAGTATTCTACATCGAGTTTAAAACACCATTTCAGTTTAGTTTCATTAATAACGTTGATTTTGACCTATTGGGGACAGTGATAGGAATAAAATGACGATTAGGGGGGGGGGGCAGGAATTTGGAAACGGGTTGAGAATGAAGTCTCGTTTCATTTAGCAGTTTCGTCTTGGGTATCAAAATAGTTAGTAAACAATAAGCTCTCCCCATTCAAGGATATCACATTTTGCTAATCGTCCTCAACTTGAGATCCACGTTAATGACGGGTTGCTTACTTAATTCAAATATTTCTTTCAAAGCCTCGAAAGCATTATGACTCCAAATTGCGTTATTTACTAGGAGTATGATATGTAGCGAAGACGCCATAAACCATGTATTGGGTTGGCAACTAAGTCATTGCCGTTTTTGTTGACAGATTCACTCTATACTTTCTTTTGTTTTGTTAACGTAGCCAGAGCATCTAACCTATATTTTTTTCTTACTCTATGGGCTTCTAGGTTAATTAGTAAAAAATTTTTTTTGTTTAGTTCTTTAGTTTTGTTTTTATCCCAATTTAAAAATGGAAGAACAGGACGTGCACTTCCCACACACTGTATTGTATTACTTCCGAAAAGGCAAGAACGCATCGCAAGCACAAAGGAAGTTATGTGCCGTATATGGAGATGAAGCCTTAAAAGAAAAGCAGTGTCGAAATTGGTTTGAAAGATTTCGTTCCGGTGATTTTTCACTGAAAAATTCACAACGATCTGGCCGCCCAGTCGAAGTGGATGAAACCCATATCAAGGCCATTATCGATTCAAATCGTCACAGCACAACACGAGATATTGCAGAGAAGCTGCTCAATGTGTCGCATACATGCATTGAAAAAAATGAAAAACCCTTGGTTATGTCAAGAAACTTGATTTATGGATCCCTCACCAGTTAAAGGAAATTCATTTGACGCAACGGATTAGCATCTGTGATTCGCCGCTACTGAAACGCAATGAGAATGATCCATTTCCGAGGAAGAACCTAGTTACTAGCGACGAAAAGTGGATAGTTTATAACAATGTTACTCNCGCAAGAGATCATGGGTGAAGCAAGATCAACCAGCCCAAACAGTATCAAAAGCAGAGATTCAGCAAAAAAGATTATGCTGTCAGTCTGGTGGGATCACAAAGGAATTTTGTATTTTGAACTCATGCCGCAGAACCAAACGATAAATTCAAATGTGTATGTTGAAGAACTCGAAAAACTGAAGGATGGATGCAATTGAAGATAAGCGGCCGGCATTATCAAATCGGCGGAAGGGTGTTGTTTTCCATCATGATAACGCAAGGCCCCCCCCCACA